AGTAAAAGAAAAATTCTTTCATTGTTTTACAATCCCTCTCCCCAGGTCCACTCCACTATGCAACCTTCGCTCTGGACTCCTGTCATGACAAAAATACCTAAACATATATCCCTATTAAACAGTTTTCTCCCTCATCTGTTCCAATGCAGTGTACATTATTGAACCCATTCTTCTCAGTCTCCTCCCAACCCCAAGGTCAGTCCTGTTCTACAAAAGAGACACCATGCAGTATTTGTCCTTTTGTGACTGAGATACTTCACTCAGCATAATGTCCTCCAGGGTCACCCATTTTGAATAGTTCCTTGGCATAGAGTTAAAAAAAACAACACAAAACACAACACTCACCAACACAAAATAAAAATAAAAATAATGGGCACCAGTGCTCGCTTCGGCAGCACATATACTAAAATTGGAACAAGACAGAGAGGATTAGCATGGGCCCTGTGCAAGGATGACATGCAAATTCGTGAAGCGTTCCATATTTTTAAAAAAATGGACACTAGAGGCAGATGAGAAGTGTTACTGTCACTTCTTATTCCCTGGTGGTACCCATGGCTCCAGGACACAGTTAATTTTACACAACGAATCTTTATATGCTTATCTCGTTCCACCCTCAGAGCAACAGTTGGAAGCAAGCTCTATCAGCCCCACTTCACCCTCCTCTCCACCCTTGATAGTGAGGCTGGCAAATGGTAAAACCAGGTGTGGAAGCTAGAGCCAGAATCTGTCTGGACATCTTTGTAGAGTCCTGAGTCTGCAGCCAGGCTTTCTAGTCCAATGATTGCAGCAGTGGTCAGCAGGCAATTCATGTCCCTCCTGCGCTGCACAGAGGCTAAAGATACCAGATAACAACCCTTTCTTCCTACTACCATCCGCTGACCATGATAAATAAAAATTGTCTCAGGAGACTACCAAAGGATCTCAGACAGGGATGGATTAATCAGCTTGCATTGAGCACGGTACAACTACAACGACTCCTTGCTGTGAAGTCAGATCTGACCCTCCAACGGGTTTTCAGGAGGCTTTAAGCCACAGATCCACTGGTGGGTTTGAACTGCTAGAAAAGTATGGCCTTGCGGTTAGCAGCATGACTCCCTATGGACTATAATTCCCTTTTGTGCTTCAGAGTTCTCTGACTTCCTCTTCTACCAGCAACTAAAGAAAAATTTTCTGCTTTTAAGGGCTCTTGTGATTAAATTACTTTGGTAACATAGTGCATAATGTGTTGGATTGCTTCATCATATCTGACGTACTTGAGCCTGTTGCTACAGTCACTGTGTCAGTTCAGCTGGTTGAGAGTCTTCCTCTCTTTCACCAGCCCTTCACCTTTCCAAGCATGATGTTTCTCTCCAAAGAATAGCCTGTCTTAACAACATCCTCAAAGAATGTGGGATGAAGGTTTATCATCTTTGTCTCCAAGGAGCAGTCTGGCTGCACTTTCTCCAAAATGTGTATGTTTGTTCTTTTTGACAGTCCGTAGGATATTCAGTGCTCTTCTCCAAAACCACAGCTCAAAGGCCTCAATACCTTGGTCATACTTATTTATTGTCCAGCTCTCAAATGCTTAGCAAGTGATCAGAAAGATCATGGCCTGAATCAGATGTGCCTTGGTCCTCAAATAGGCATCATGGCTCCTCAGTAATTTGGAGAAGTCTCTGACAGTAGATGTTCCCAGTACAATACATCTCTTGATTTCCTGACTGCTGGTACCAAAAGTGTTGATCGTGGATCTAAGTAAGATGAAGTTGTAAACAGTTTCAGTCTTTTCTCCATGTATCATCATGTTGTCTGTCTAGTGGCAAGAATTTTTCTTTTCTTGACCTTGAGATACAATACATTTTGAGAGCTCTTTTGGTTTGGTTTGGTTTTTTTGATCTTCTGCAACAAGTGCTTCAAGTCCTCTTCATTTTCAGCAAGCCAGGTTAGGGTATCTGCATCATAAAGGCTATTGATAAGTCTTCCCTGATCTTGATGCCACATTCTTTTTCATAGGAGTTCAATTTCTTGAATAGTTTGCTCAATATACAGATTGATTAGGTATGGAAAGAGACTACAACTCTGATGTATTTCTTTCATAATTTTAAACCACATAGTGGTTCCCTTGCTCTGTTCTCACAATGGCATCTTGGTCTGGGTATAGGTTTCACATGAGCACAATTAAGTGCTCTGAGATTCCCATTCTTCTCAATGTCAGCCATAACTTGTTGTGACCCACACAGCCAACTGCCTTTGCATAATCAATAAAGTATAAATAGACATTATCCTGATATTATTTACTTTCAGCCAAGATCCATCTGACATCAGTAATTTTCCCAGTGGAAATATTGGTGCTTCAAACCTACAAACTGCTCCAAGGGACAAGGTTGGCATTCTCCTTCCATAAAGATGTGCAGCCTCAAAAAACTCAGCAGTGGGTGAGCCTGAGTCAATTTGGGGTCATTAGATTAGGTCACCTAGAAAATACTCCCTTTTTAAGTTAACACTGCAATATTACTCAACACAAACACAGGTGTGATTTCTCATCATATCCAAAAATTTTGGGAATTAGGACATAAAATCTTCAAAGACATTCTTGGGAATTCTGTCCACCGCAGCCTTAAATAGATCCAGAGAACTTCTCCCATGGGAACACAAGAGAAAGCAGGATATGTGAGCAAGCCTACAGCCAATGTGCCACGGCCTCTTCTCTATTTTAAGCCAAGCAGTTTCCTTGCTCTCTTCAGAAAATAACTTCTTGGTCTAGGTATAGTTTTTGCACGAGCACAGTTGATGTCTTTGAGCTGGAGAAGAGTACTGAAGCTCCCATGGACTGCCAAAAGAACAAACAAATGTTTTAGAGAAAGTGCAGCCAGAATACTCCTTGGAGGAAAAGATGATAAAGCTTCATCTCATATTTTGGGCATGCTTATAGGAGAGGGTGTTCCTTACAAAAGGATATCATCATTTAAAAGGTGAGCAAAAGAGAGAAAGACCTTCAACCAGGTGGATTGACACAGTGACTGAAGCAACGAACTTAATTAATTGTGTGAGAGATAATGAGGATGGCAGAGGGTCCAGATCTGTTGTTCATAGGGTCTCAACTGACAGCACCTAACAACAACAATCCATTTTTTTTGGTGTCAGTTAGAGACCATGACTTTTTAAACCATATTCATTAATTCACTGTACTACATGTGTGCACTTACCATAATTAAAAAACAAACAAGTCAGGAAGTATTGGGTATTTAGACATATAGGCACCAAAAGACTTTCTCTTCGACCTGTTGAGAAGAATAGAACTGAAAACTCCTTCACTCTTCTCTCATGGAAGTCTTGGCTCAGACATGCCAAGAATTAGCTCCATTAGCTTAGGGAAGCTGCCTAACCAACTCGCAACTCTGTGAGGTAAACAGGAAGCTAATTACTGCTCTCAGTCGTATACTGATACTTGGAACCAGTCAAGGTACCCATTCAGAGGCCCTTCCCCCCAGAAGCCTTTCCCACCTCCTGGACACAGGCTGGGGGCTCCAGGATTCTCCCACAGACCCTCTGTTACTCCCATCACAGGATGATGTTGCTGCAGCATCCACCATGAGAGTGAGGTGCTGACTTCTGTAAAACGGGGTCAGCCTGTGATTCTGCGCTCAAGGCCACAGTCCCGGCTGTCTCCTGCCTCTGAAGATAGGCCCTCCAGGGCTGGCCTGAGGATAAGCCAGGCTATTTTCATCACTTCCTTCCTCCCATCATGGCCTAGAGTTGCTACCAAGCGCTGACCAGGCCACAGAAGAGTGCGAACTTTCACAGGTAAGTAACACTCCTCCTTACTCGGCACCTCCTGCCCCTTCCCCTAGGCCTCTCCCAGCTGGGTGGTGGGACAAGGCCTAGCAGGGGAGGGGAGGTCTGCCCAGACCCTCACCCTTGAAGACAAGGTGGAGTGGGGTGGGGGTTTTCACACTGAAACACCATTGGTTGTTGTTGTTATTGTCGTTGAATACCATTGAGTCGGCATCAACTCATAGCTGACCCTGCAGCAGGTGTTTGCACAGGAGGTGGAAACAGCTGGTATATTTGAACCGCGTACCTTTGGGTTGGCAGTGCAGTTCCTTGCAGCTAAGCAACTGGAGCTCCCTTTGCCTTGTCTTAGTCCAGGTTTTTTGTTCCTTCAGGAAGTATCTCTGAAACCTAATCAGGGCCAAGCCCCTGACTAATCCTGGGAAAGGGACACATCCACACTGAGCCCTGAAGGGAAGGTCTCAGGTTGGGACTTCTGAGCTCTGAATTCAGGCTGGTCATTGACATGGCTTGCTGGGCAGCCTGGAGGAGTAGTTGCCCTCCCTCTCTGGGCCTCAAAGTCCTGTCTGTTAACCCGATGAGTGGCTTTGCAGGCGATCCCGTCTGGGCCCACTTCCCATCTCATTAGCATCATCACTGTAAAGCTTTCTACAGCAGCATCACTCAGTGCTTACCTGAGAATACGTGGGATGGACTGGCCAGGGTGTAAGCAAAGCTGCCAAAGCAAGGAAATCTGTTCTGACCCCGGGCTTAGTGTCTGAAGTTGGGAGCAGGGACCCCAGTTGCCCTCTCCAGGGCCTTTTCGGCTGTGGGTTCTAGACTGGGACTTGGTCAGCAGTCGTCTACCTGTAAGCACACACTGGCACAGAGCAAGGGGCCAGGATGCCCCCACCTCTTCCCAAGAGCTCTCTTTCCCACCACATCCGTCTGTCTTGCTTCCACCCTCGGCATGACCTCCTCCCCATAATCATCATCCAGTTCCTCCAAAGTGACGGCCACACCCACCTCCAGCCAGAGCCATCGGTGTAGTACCCAGTGAGGCCAGCCAGGTCCTTGGCCGGGCTCACCCTTCACTGCCTTCAACTCACCCCTTTCATCAGAGGTGAAAGCTGAAACTCAAGTCAAGAGGTGAGTGACCCTTGGTCCCAGGGTTCTATGCCTGTGGCCCTCAGGGTGGGTGTAGGTTGCTGGCTCCACCTCACACCACTCTGCCCTCATCCAGCTGCCTGATGCCAGCCTGGGGAGTCTTGTTCCTGCTCTGGGCTGTGGTGGGGGCCACGAAGGACTGCCCTGCATCATGCAATTGCCATGCCCTGGAGACCATGGGGCTTTGGGTGAACTGCTCGGGCCGAAGGCTCACAGCGCTGCCCATCCTGCCTGCCCGCACCCGCCACCTCCTACTAGCCAACAACAGCCTGCATGTGGTGCCCCCAGGCACCTTCGATCACCTGCCCCAGCTACAGATGCTGGATGTGACCCAAAACCCCTGGCACTGTGACTGCAGCATCACCTACCTGCGCCTCTGGCTGGAGGACCGCATGCCTGAAGCCCTGCACCACGTTGTCTGTGCCAGCCCTGCCCTGGTGGCTGCCCGTCCACTGAACCAACTGACTGGCTCTGAACTGGGCAACTGTGGCTGGCAGCTTCAGGGCTCCTGGGCCTCCCTTCGCCTCTGGTGGGATGTGACACTGGTTGCCGTGGTCACATTGGGCCTGGCGCTCCTAGTCAGCCTGCTGTGCACCCTCGCCAGACTCCAGCACGAGCCTGGCACTGTCACCTCTAGACCATAGCCAACCTCCCCGGACCGCAGCTCCAGCCCAACCACCAGTAGCCCAAAATAAACCAGCTGTTCTGCCTTCTTATCTAAGCTCAGAGACCTTTTCCTTTCCCCTCCCAGCACCCGAGTCTGGCTCCTTCTGAAACCAAAGGCTAGTTGTTGCTTATTCAACCCTAACCCGTGGTGGCTCTATGTGTGGCACCGTAGAATCGCTCCATAAGGCAGCTTTGGGTGGACGCTAACTACCCAAAGACTGGTTAGTAGCTCAATGCGTTAACCATTAACTACCCAGGGACAGGACTCATTTCATCTTAGGAGGATGTCAGAGGCTGGATGTGGCCCAGAACCCCTGCCTTGTGACTGCAGCCTTACCCAGCTGCACACACACACACACACGTCTGCGCGTGCGGTGCAGTTTACCAGAGATTCAATGATGGGAACCCAGCCAGGACCCTCGCTCATCCCCAGCCCCTGAGGCTGATACCTTCCTTAAACTACATGAGAATGAAATTTCCTCTCTCTCTAAAACAAAACAAAAACAACAACAACAACAAAAAAAAAAAACAACCCAAACAAAAAGCTAGCCCCAGGCCCTGCCCATTCTGAGTGGGCATCTGTGCACACTAAGTCCTAGGCTTGACTTTTGTCAAGAAAGGACAGCAGACACACCTCCACCAGCTGGGACCCCTAGAGAACTCACAGTGCCTCCTATCTGCCTCCTGCACTGTCTCCCGCCTCTGGATTGTTACATGACTGTGAAGAAGTGATTCCTTTAACACGGTTCTTCTAAACAACCTTTGTAACTCCCACAAGATGTCTGGGTAGGACTATGCAAATGTAAAGTGTTTGTAACCTACAAAGAGACTGGAAAGCTTGCTGGTAATATAAATGGGTACATGTCATCCCTGTGGGGTGAGACTATGACGATAATGTGCATAGGGAGCTCTTAGTAACACCAAGATATCCTCACCAGGGTGGAGTGCGTCTTGTTGGACCCAGGTGACTCCATGATGAAGCTCCTTGACACTAGGGAAGATCACGACACATGGAGGTTTCTAGGGAAGTGTAAGGTCGCCGAGAAAGGACAGAACCCACTTCAGGCCAGAAGGGAGAGCAGGTCCGCAGCCCTAATAGGAAGGCCGTGTCTACAGATGCTGATGGAAATGAGAGCTTGCCTCCAAAACTGTCACAGAGAGATGAACTTCTGCTACAGCTGGCACCCTAAATTTAGATTTCCAGCCTTCTTAACTGTAAAAGAATAGATTTCTGTTTGGTAAAGCCTAAAAGATGGTAAATAATGGGTATTGAACAGTAAAGTAGGGATTGGTCAGTTTTATCATTTTGCTAGTTTTAAAATAAACAATGGCGGAGTTCAAAAAGGAGAACCAGGAATTGAGTGTGTCATTTGCATGTGAAATCCCTGCACAAAAAGCCCTCAATCCAGGAGACAGAGCTATAACACCTGACAGATGGCAGGAAGCAATGGCAGTATAGATCCCGAAGAGTTAGAACTGGGACATGAACAGATACAGCACACCCCTGATTATTACAGTGTTATTCACAACAGCAAAGAGCAGAAGCAACCCAACTGGCAATAGATGAGTGAATGGATAGAGAAACCATGGTACAGTCACATGATGGAATACTATGCAACAGTGAAAATGAAGAAGAGACTCTACACAACATGGATTAATCTAGAGGACCTGATGCTAAGTTAAATGTCACCAAAGGACAAATATTGTGCAAGACCAATAATACGTAAAGCTAAAGAAAGATTTAAACACAGAGAGAATCACAGTACAAAGGTTACCAGGGAGGGGAAGAGGAGGGTACAACATTCATTAATAATGAATGCTTATTAATATGGGGGGCTCCAGTGGCCTAGTGGTAAGAATCTGTGCTGAAATACCAAAGGCATGTGGTTCAAATCCACCATCTGCTTCTTGAGGGATGGATGGACAGTGCTGCAATACCAAAAGCATGTGGTTCAAATCCATCAGCTGCCTCCTGATTGATAGTCTCCTCCCATGAGACTTACTGCCTCCTAAAACCCACCAGAGGGTGAGTTATGAGTCAGTTCTGAATCAACAGCACACAACAATAACACTTATTGATGTGGGTGAAGGGGAAAATACAATATGGAATGAGTGGATGATTAGACACTGTGAGTACTCTCATTAACGTGCATGTTGATTGAAAAAGCAATATGTTTGGTAAACATTCACTCAAATCACAATTTCAAAACAGGTTTAGGTTGGGGGAGGGAGAGAAAAGACACAGTGGCAGAGGAACAACAGCAGGAGAGGTAGCAGAACCAGCAGAAACCATGAGATAGCCGTTGGCTACCCAGGGCCTGCAGAGCAAGAAAGCCAAGTGTCTCTAGGCCAGAGGCTTGCTGGCAGGGTGGGGTGCCTCTGGGCACCTCCCAGAGAAGCTTGTTATGTCAGTCCTTAGACGTAGAGCTAAATACCTTCAAGCAGGAAAATTACTGATGTTGCCTCTGGGCCCTTAAATCAGCAGAACAAAGAATTGTGTAACATTTGCCTGAACAGGCCAGAGACCAAGTTTATAAGGTTGATTGGCCGAGGAAGGCTTGCCTGCTGGTCCTGAAAACAAAGTTTAAGAGTTATCATGTTGACCAAGAGGACAAGTGCTGGGCATTGGAGTTTGCTCTTTTTACATGTCACTCTCCAAATTCTACTGGTTTTGTTATCCACCTCCAGGTGTGTGTATTTCAGTGTGCCCACTTCATTTGATCTCTGGTGGCCTAATGGTAAGGAGCTGCATTGTCAACCCAAAGGTATACAGTTCAAATCCATTAGCCACTCTATGAGAGAAAGAGATCTGACACAACTCTGATTCAGAAAGCTTGAATTATCGTGTATAAATTTCTACAACCAAGTATTTATATTTTTATGTACTTGTGTAGTGTTCTTCTGTTGTACATAAATTTACTATGAATTTTAGTTGATGTGACAGCAGCTCATTTTCTATGTTACTGAAGTACATGGTTTCGTTTTAAGAAACTTAAAATTTCTTTAGAAAAAAACAAAACCCAACAAATTATTCATCATTCTATTTTAACACAGTTACTGTTAATATTAGTGAACAAACTTTAGTTTTTATGTAAATAAATGACATTTCTACACTTTGGCATTCTGAATCATCCAGGGAATATTGCATCATAAATATTTTGAAGTGTTAGTTACAGTGAATTCTTTTAATGAAACTTCCAAAGTGTACACACACACACATAAACACGTCTCAAAAATCAACAGGATGGCCAGTTATGGTAAGTTCCAACTCAACAGTACTCAACAACAACTCAATACGCACACACATAATAGAAAAATTAAAAATAAAAAAAATTAACAGAAAGAAAGTAGAAATTTCCTACTGAGGTTTCTGGCAACATGTCTGACTAGATAGACTCTTGACTGTCTGGATCCTCTATGACTAGAACACCAAAACACAAAGGTAGCAGATATGCATGAAAATCCTGGCACTTTGGACTTCAAAGGAAATGATGAAGAAATTAAAATACTGGGGGGGGGGGATAACTGAATTAAAACATCAAATAAGAAGACAGAGCACTGAATCGTGAACAGTCCTGAGGCAGAACAGCCATTTGGGACTTTTCAAACAACTTTTTGATCAGAGAAGGACCTAAGATTGCAGCAGTAGACACACTAGGTGCTGTCTGACAAGAAAAGCACTCCCCTCCTCGTTTCCCACACCTTCTCAGTGATAAGGGGAGAAACCCTCCGCATGACCACCGACTAGGTGGTGGGCAGTCATTCCCGGAGCCCCATCCCTGCTCTGCCTGTGTAAGGCAGGTGTCATTGTTGTAGATCTGGCCCCAAGAGCTCTCAGCTCCCCCTTCAGGATCCACCATCTCTGTCACCTAGCCTGGTGGGGTGTGCTGTCTTGAGACCAGCAGATGCATCATCTCTGACCAGTATCACTGCCCCAGTGGCTTCCTTGGTTGGCAGAAACTAACCTGGCAGATTTGCCACTAGCCTTATGCCACCTCCACATAAGAGATGTGTACTGGTCACTTGTTGCAGTCAGTAGAACGGGCTGTCCTGTGGCTGGCAGAACACTTCTGAAGGTCTGGTGCCTCGTGCACATTACCATTTACACACACACAGACACACACACACACACAGACACACACACACACACACACACACACTTCTGACCAGGGCGAGGGTAATGTGCCATCTCTGAACTCGTGCCCTGAGTACAACCTGTCTTCTGGTTTACAAGAGGGTGTCTCTCAAAAGGCAGCCTTGTGGATCTGGCACCAGGTGCATATCACCCCACATTTGGAGCTACATGTGCTCTCTCCCTAGTGCCAGGAGCAAATTCCACCTCTACACTCTGCTCCTGGACTCCATTCAGAGCAGACATCTTCCTGCCTTCAGACTGAGCAGTGACAAGAGCACAAATCAAGTGCCTCATATTATCAGGTTTCCATATGCTATTTTTTTAAATCCTCATTATTTTTCCTTTCTTCCTCTCTTTTATCCTCTAGGGTATTATTTTTTCTGTGCACTCTTAATGTTGTTTCTTGGTTTTCTTTCCCTTTTTCTTTCTTCCCTTCTTAAATGTTTTCTGGCTCACCTGACAAAAAGACAGCCACAGTATATGCACTGGCCAGTCCCCCAGTGACCTTCTGGAATAAACACCCACTCCTACACCACCTGACTGAAGACATACTGCAATCAACAACAGCCCAGTCTACCCCCAACTGCTCTGCACAGAGAATAGAGAATGGCACACTGGTTCCATTACCGTCCTTTACCACATCCACCAGAAGATAGAAATATAGTCTGAGAACTTCCAAATTCTGTTGACCAACAGAATTTGGAATAGAAACAAATATAGATCTCTTCCAGTCTGCTGGCCACGTGACTGTCTTCCAAATGTCTTATCATAGGATAGTGAGCATATTCAGGGCTGCATCTGTCTGTTGAAAGACCTCAATTGGTAGTCCACCAATTTTTTTTG